AAAGGAAGGGGGAGGAGGAGGATGTGGAGGTGGAGGGGGGGGGGGGGGGGAGGGGGGGGGGGGAGGAGGGGGGGGGGGGAGAGGATGCCAGACATCGCAGAAGGAGTGAACAAAACAGGGCCGCAAGAGGGGCTCCAGAGGGCGAGCGCGAGGGGACCCCAAGGGCCGTCCCCCGCAAGATGGCTTCAAAGACCTTTGACGGGTTCCCAGGGAGCCTCCAACTGACGCCCGAGAAGCCTACAGAGGGTTCCAAGGGGAGGCCTCCAGGGTCCAAGGAGGGCTGGAAGAAATTACTGAGCGGACTCAGCTGCTGGGGGCTCGCGGTGCAAAGTGCGCGGCGGCCTTGTGTTGCGAACGCTTGTCCAAGGCAGTCGCTTTGCACGCAGAGTCTGTCGGGTGTATTCTCGGGGGCCGGCTATGCGCCACTTGAACGGGCCCCCCCCCCCACAGACCAGACTTTCGGCCCGGGGCGGCGGCGGCGGCGACGACGGCGACGACGGCGGCGGCGTCCGCTTTAGCCGTTCCTCCTCCCTCCACTTCCCCGGCCCCTCTCCTCCTCCTCCTCCCCTTCCTTCTCCTCCCCTTCCTTTTTCCTATTCCTCTTCCTCCTCCTTCTCCTCCCGTTTCCCTCCGCCCTCGTCCTCGTCCGTCTGGCCTCCTCCTTCCTCCCTCCTCCCTCCTCCCTCCTCCTTCTTCCCTTCCTCCCTCCTCCCTCCCTCGTCCCTCCTGTTCCTCCTGACTACAACGCATCGCCGAATTGTCGGCGCCAGCGAGGAACGGGGGGGGGAGGGCGGGCGAGCACCGCGCCGGTGCCGCGCCGAAATCCGAAGAGAATTCTGGGTACAGCCCTGAGATGTAGAGGGTCTGTGCACTTGCTGATGCAAGCAGGAATGTATTTTCGTAATGTCCCGGATCCCCAGTTTTTTGTTGCTGCTGCAACCAGAATTGCAATTTCGTAATGACCCGGATCCCCGATGTCCTAAGCGTTTTGTGGCGCTCGTGCGTTACTTCGCGAGGGCGGAAAGAAGGCGGGCGGGGCGGAAGGAAACCACGCGGAGAAGGCCCCGCTGAGGCCGCGGGGAACACTGGGGGGAAGGGGCGAAAGGAGCGCACCAGGGCAGGAAAGACATTGGCCGGGCACTGGGGCCGCGGGGCACTGGACGGGCGCTGGAACCGTGGGGGCGCTGAGACGGTGTCCGGGAAGGTGCGGAGCAGGCAGGGGCTGCGGCGCCGAAATAAAGTGGGCGGGGCGGAGGGGGCGCTGGGCGAGCGCTGGAGCCGTGGGGGGCGCTGAGACGCGTGGGGGAGGGGGCGGAGGATGGGGGGGGGTGTCGGGGCGGAGGGGGCACTGGGCGGGCGCTCGAGCCGCGGGGGAGCGCTCAGACGGTGCGGGGGAGGCGGCGGAGCGGGGGAGGGGGAGCGGGTGCCGAAATAAGTGGTCGGCGGCGGTAGGGGGCACGTGGTCGGGCGCTGGAAAACCGCGGGGGGGCGCGAGAACGGCGCGGGGGAGGAGGCGGAGTGCGGGGGGGGGGGGGCGCGGGGCGAAATAACCTCCCTCCCGGGAGGGGCACTGGGCTGAGGCGGCTGGAGCCGCGAGGGGGCGCTGAGACGGCGCGGGGGAGGGGGCGGAGCGGGGAGGGGGGATGCGGTGCCGAAATAAAGTTGTCGGGGCGGAGGAGGCACTGGGCGGGCGCTGGAGCCGCGGGGGGGCGCTGAGACGGCGCGGGGGAGGGGGCGGAGCGGGGGGGGGGGTGCGGTGCCGAAATAAAGTGGTCGGGGCGGAGGGGGCACTGGGCGGGCGCTGGAGCCGCGGGAGGGCGCTGAGACGGCGGCAGGGGGAGGGGGCGGAGCGGGGGGAGGGGGGGTGGCGTGCCGAAATAAAGTTGTCGGGGCGGAGGGGGCCTGGGGCGGGGGCGCCGGAGCCGCGCAGGGGGCGTGAGACGGCGCGGGGGAGGGGGCGGAGTGCGGGGAGGGGGGGGGTGCGGTGCCGCATTAAAGTGGTCGGGGCGGAGGGGGCACTGGGCGGAGCGGTAAGAGCCGCGGGGGGCGCTGAGAAACGTCGCGGGGGAGGGGGCGTAGGCGGGGGGAGGGGGTGGCGGCGCCGAAATCGAGTGGTCGGGGCGGAGTGGGCGCTGGGCGGGCGCCTGGAGCCGCGGGGGGCGCTGAGGACGGCTGCGGGGGAGGGGGCGGGAGCGGGGGGGGGGTGCGGGTGCCGACATAAAAATGGTCGGGCGAGGGGCGCTGGGCGGAGGACGGCGGACGTCGGGGGAGGGGGCGGAGCGGGAAGGGGGGGTGCGGTGCCGAAATAAAGTGGTCGGGGCGGAGGGGGCACTGGGCGGGCGCTGGAGCGGCGCGGGGGCGCTGAGACGGCGCGGGGGAGGGGGCGGAGCGGTGAGGGGGGGTGCGGTGCCGAAATAAAGTGGTCGAGGCGGAGGGGGCACTGGGCGGGCGCTGGAGCCGCGGGGGGGCGCTGAGACGGCGCGGGGGAGGGTGAGGGGGATGGGGGGGGGGGGGGGGGGGGGGGGGCGAGGAGTCGGGGAGGGGGTGTGCGGTGCGAAAAAAGTGGTCGGGCGGAGGAGGCAAGTGGGCGGGGCGCTGGGATGTCCGCGGGGGGGCGCTGAGACGGCGCGGGGGAGGGGGCGGAGGGGGAGGGGTGCGGTGCCGAAATAAAGTGGTCGGGGCGGAGGGGGCACTGGGCGGGCGCTGGAGCCGCGGGGGGGCGCTGAGACGGCGCGGGGGAGGGGGCGGAGCGGGGGGGTGTGCGGTGCCGAAATAAAGTGGTCGGGGCGGAGGGGGCACTGGGCGGGCGCTGGAGCCGCGGGAGGGCGCTGAGACGGAGGGGGCGCATGATGATGATGATGATGCTGTGGATGATGATGATGATGGTGATTGTGATTATGATGGGGGGGGGGTGCGGTGCCGAAATAAAGTGGTCGGAGCTCTAGACACCCTGTGCAAGAGAATATTCTATTACTTTGAGAATGTTCACTGGGTTGGAATTGTTCAGGACAGGAATAGGTGGAAGGCGAGTGATGAGGAATACATGCATATATATACACATATGTATGTATATATCGTAGACATTGGGAGAAACGCTGGCTCGTGCTAGGATGTGATGTTCGTGATTTACCTTGTCGTTCTCGCCTGATCCGTCGTCTCGCTCCGCTCGCAGCGTTACGTAAGCATAGTATGTCATGCTGGATGGCCCCCATCTCTGAGAGCATGCCATCACCATCACAATCTCCTCCTCCTCCTCCTCCTCCTCCTCCTCCTCCTCCTCCTCCTCCTCCTCCTCCTCCTCTTCGGGAGCCGGGGAGGGGTCCGGGGACTGATTTTGAGCGGATTTGGCCCCATACCCTCCTCCTGACCGATGTCTTGGAGTCCCAACAACTTCAGACCCCCCAGCGGCCTCGAACCCTGCGTCTCGTCCTTCTCCCTTGCCGTTTCGTCGTCCGTTCCCCTCTCGTCCGCCTCGTTGTCGTCGATCGTCGTCGTCGTCGATCGTCGGCGTCGTCGTCGATCGTCGTCGTCGTCGTCGATCGTAGTCGTCGTCGTCGTCGTCGTCGTCGTGGTCGTCGTCGTCGTCGTCGTCGTCGTCGTCGTCGTCGTCGTCGTCGTCGTCGTCGTCGTCGTCGTCGTCCGAGCCGCGCGGGCCGGCCTTGGGCGCTCCGTGCGCCGACGCCCGGCTGCGCAGCGCTCTCTCTTCAGGGCGTTCCTGCGCCCCGCGGCCCGCCCCGGGAGAGCGCCTGCCCCTCCCCCGCGGCTTCGGGCCTCCTCCGCTTCCTCGTCGTCCTCCTCCTCCTCCTCCTCCTCCTCCTCCGCCTCCTCCTCCTCCTCCTCCTCCTACTCCACCTCCTCCTCTTCCTTCTCCTCCTCCTCCTCCTCCTCCTCCTCCCCTCCGCTCTCCTCTTCCTCCTCTCCTCCTCGTCCTCCTCTCCTCTCCTCTTCCTCTTCCTCTTCCTCCTCCTCCTCCTCCTCGTCCTCCTCCGCCTCCTCCTCCTCCCCCTCCTCCTTCTCCTCCTCCTCCTCCTCCTCATCCTCCTCCGGGGGGCCGCTGCGGGGCCTCGCCGGGGCAGGCAGCCCGCGGCGCAGTTGCTTGCAGGCCGTCCCGCAGCAGGAGGGGAATTCAAAAAATAGAGGAAAAATGTAGTGGGGACGATTTGTTGGCTATTTTATGTTGCTCTTTGGACTATTTACCATTTGTGTTAGAAGATCCGCCTGTAGGAGGACATGTCCGACCTAACCCTTTGGTGGGGGCGCGCGTCAGGAAACCAGACGCTTTTCGTCCTCGTTCCGCGCGCTGCGCGGTAGCTTCCCGCGGGCGTGAAAGAAGCTGCTGCGCTCAGGGTGCCCCGGGTTGCCCCTCGGGTACACCTCGCGCGCGGGTTTTCGGGGCTGGATTTCTTGCGAGGATATCTTGCGGCCGCGCCCACACTATAGTTGTTGGCAGTGGCGCAGCCCAGGCCAGGAAGGCTACGCTGTCATCCTAAGAATTGTGCCTGGATAGAGGGTTTTACGCATAAGACTGCTACCACCTGCTCCGGTCGCAAAGGCGGCGCCCTGCAATGGACCTCCCGGGAGAAGGAGCGAAGGGGGCGGAGGGAAAGAGGGAGGTGGAAGGAGGGGAGGGAGGAGGAAGAGGCATGGATTTACCTTGCAGCCGTCTGGGAGCCTGAGGTGGCCCAGCATTAGTTCTGGCCAGCAGGAAGGGTGGGCAGGTTCGAGGTTCTTGGTTCGGGAAGGTTTGTTCCCGATTTTCGGCCTGCGCCGTTTTCGGGCTCCAGGACCGTGGGAAACAGATTCGGGGTGCAAAGTGCACCAGATGGACCTTAGGAGGGTCGGTTACGGGGACCGACTTTGAGCGGATTTGGCTTCATCCCCCCTCCTGACCGGTATCCTGGGGTCCCAAGCAGTTCAGACCCCAGCCGCCTCCAAGATTTACCCACGACTTCCTTCTCTGGTCCGTCCGTCGCGGTTTCTGAGCGTCTGCGGCAACGCAGGAGACCTGGCAGTCACATCCAAGGAGCTGGAGACGGACATCGCCACGAAGGACCGATCCGCAGGCAGCCCCAGGCGAGGAAGTCCTGGGTGAGTTGCGAGAAGGCGATGGACGAGGCAAGAGAGGAGGAGGAGGAGGAGGAAGAGGAGGAGGACGAGGAGGAGGCGGAGGAGGAAGGAGTACGAGGGCGAGGGCGAGGACGAGGACAAGGCCGAGGACGAGGAGGGTGAACGTGATGAGAACGAGTAGGTCGGATGGGGGGAAGAGGATGCGGACCTGGGGGATGGGGGAGGATGGACGGGTAGAGGTGGGGTGAAGAAGAGATGTTTACATTAACGCGTCTATTGAATAGCCAGCTCTGTACTGAAAGCTCGGGGGGGACCTCTAAAAGGGGGGCAGGCGGAGCTGGAGCGACAACCCTACATAATAGTTCAGAAGCGAGGCCACGCCACCGCGTCGCCTGAATATCCGACGCAGCCACGGGAGCGACTGGGAGATTGCCGCAAGCTTGGGCTGGCGGGGGCAGTCCCCCCCCGAGGTGTTCAAGGGCGGAACCGAGCCACTGTGGGCCCACGGCCTCGAGCGGTACCTGACCACACCAGGGCCACACGGCCTCGAGCGGCCCACGGCCACAAGGCCACGGCCTCGAGCGGCCCACGGCCACAAGGCCACACCAGGGCCAGCGAGAAGCTCGGAAACGCAAAGTCCCAGCCCCAATCTGTGGAGACTGGCACACATGCCCAAGCACCAGCCTTGCACACATAGGGTGGGAGGGTTTGGGATATTCATCTATGTTGTGCTCCAGCCCCCCTGTTTTACGTAAAAAAACCCGGTCCAAATATTTCTCTGTTCTCAATCCTGAGGAAGACGAGAGAGGACAGGGGGACACATCAACACACCGCCAGCACGCTCTGGATATATCAACAGATAGGGGCCTGCGGCCAGACAAAAGCGAAAGCTGGGTGCCCAGCGCGAGAGAAAGGCCACCACGGCTCAAAAGAGGCGCCGTTCTTGCGCTTGTGACGGGCACGGGCTGCGGCGCTGGGGCGGCCCGTCGTCAACACCCGCCCGCCGTCGAAGCTCGGGAGCTCGACCTCTTGGCCGCTCGCCCGCTCCAGCTCCTCCAGCAGGTGCCTCGCCAGAGGGGTCTGAGCCGCGGGCGACTCCTCGATGAACGACCTCAGCGCCTCGGCTGGCGCCGCCCAGAAGCGGGCGCCTGCCCGCGCCTGCTCGTCCGCCATCCTACTCAACTGATTGATCAGCATGTGAGTCTTGGCGTAGCGTGCCAGCGCCGTTGTCGATTGCCACCGGCCTTTGCGCCGCGCGGCCTCCAGGCAGCCGCCCCCCGCCACGAAGCTGGCCGCCCCCGAATGCCGAGTGGCGTGTGGTGGGCCCATGCCGGCCAGCCCCACCTCGTCCAGCGCCTTGTGCCACTCGCGCCTGAACTTGTCCTGTGAGATGGGGAAGACGAGGTCCCTGCTTGCACAGCCCCGCAGCAGGGCCCGCACCACGGCCGCCGTCACCGGCCACGAGATCACGACGCCCTGGTTCGCGCCCGTCTTGACCTTCTCCCCTCTCTCGCGCCTGCCGAGGGTGAAGGCCAGCTGGCCGCCAGGCCCCTCGGACACATCCTCGGCCCTGAGCTGGCCCCAGTCCTGCTCCCTGAGCCATCCGTCCAGCTGCGCGAGCACCGCCGAGCCCTCGATCAAACGGCCCGTGCGGAACGTTCTGCCGATCACCAGGCCGACCGCCTCCATGGGAACCGGTGCGCCTTCGCCCAGCTGCCCAAGCCGCTGCCACGACTTCAGGGCCCTCGCCGATGTCGGCAGCCGGTCACGGTGGTCCTGGAAGACATGCATGAAGCCATTGAACAGCATGTTGGCGCGCCCGAAGCCCAGCTGCCGCGCGTAGCACATGTCCGAGATGTAGTCCGCCAGCGCCTACTCCCTCGCCTCAAATGTGGTGAAGTCGAGCTGGTTCCTCTTGGCGTCCACCAGGAACTCGCGGACCGCCTTCTGGTTGGCCAGGTTGGTCGCGTCGTCCACGGCGTGGATGACCAGGCGATTCGTGTAGAGCAGCTTGTCTCGCCGCGCCTCGTCCCAGGCCCGCGCCCCCTTTTTGGCCACGAGGGGCGGTGGGATCGCCCCCTCTGATCGGGATGCGCGCGGGCTCTGGCCGCCTTGGTCGCTGACGGCCCCCCCGCGCGCCACCGGCATCCCGAAGGCTATACATTTGCCAGCCCAGCGACTGCGCCCTGACGATCTTGACGATGATGTAAGAGCCGCTGGAGCCGTTGTGGGACGCCTGGGGCCACATGGAGCTCGACCGTTTCCTCCGCCGCACCGATGGGTAGCCCCCTCGAAGGCCCGTCCGCCAGGTTGAGCTCCGACGGCACCCAGCGGTAGTAGCCCCTGATCCTTCAGACCATCAGGAAGATGCCCGCGATGCGGCACAGGTGCAGGACGTCCTTGGCCGAGGGCCGGCCCTTCTGCAGCGCGCCCAGCGACGCCATCGAATCCGTGAAAATCAGGATCCTGTGGCCCCAGGCTTGAGACGTCCTGCTCAGATGCCTCAGGGTGGCCACAGCCGTTCGCAGCTCCAGAATGTTGCTGGGCTCCTGGTGCCACCACTTCCCGCAGAACAGGATGTGCCAGTGGTGTTTCAATCAGTCGCCCATCAGTGGGATGGCGGTACCCGTCGCCTTGGCAATCTGTGGCTGACCTCCTCTCAGCCTCGGTCTCGCCCCTGCCGGTATCGCCCCCCAAGAAGGCTCGAGCTGCTTCGCGATCTCCGCGTAGCACCTGCACAACTCGAGTGGGCACGCGCACGCCAGCTGTGTCCACCTGGTCCCGCGTGGCGTCTTGCCGCTTAGCTCTTGGCGCGGCTTTTGGGTGCGGCCGCAGCACTGAAACGACCCCGTGCACCTCCTCGCCAAGCTTGCCACCTCTTTCACGATCGTGACGAATGCGGTGGGCTTCTTCCAGATCTCCCCAAACATGCAATAGTCCAGCTCCACACTTCGCCAAGACCTCCACGAGGGGCGGAAAAGGCCCAGATATAGCTGCCGGCCGGGTTCTCCAACGTGAGGGGCACCGCCACGGTCGCGCAGATCTTCAGCACTTCCACCGCCTCCAAGCACAGCAGGTCCCCCTCCTCGAGCTTCGCTTGACTCGCCCTTTCCAAGCCCTCGAAGCCCCAGATGTGCTCTGCTGACCGCAACGGTGGTGCATGCGCCTTCGAAAAAGTGGCGCAGGGGGGCGCGACGTGCACCCACCAGTACCAACCTTGGCGAAACCTCCTCAGCAGCAACTCCAGGTTCTCGCCGATGAGCACGTCGCACTCGCCCCCCTCCGAGATGTCCCACGCTTCGCCCCAGGAGTCCGCGAGCTCCCTGATGGCGTCCAGCAGCCTCTACGAACAATTCCAGCACCCCCGGGCGACCCGCTCGGGGTCGGGCAGGTAGGTCCTCCTGGTCGCCGACTGCCTCCACCCCTCTCTCCATCTCGGTGTAGACCTCCTCCATCTGCGGGCCCCAGAGCCCTTCCGTCCCACGACCTGCCTCTGATCGTGCCTTCTCGGGGCCGCAGTCGCAGGCCCACGACCCGCATCCACTCTCCGAGGCGTCGGCCATGTACGCACGCGGCCACCAGGGCGCCTCCAAGTCCGACTCCATGTAGACAGAGGCTCACCAATGCCGAGAGCTCGCTCTTGACTAATTCGGGCAACCTCCGCGGTGCCACAGACTTCTCCACCTCGCAGTCCCTGATCCACCTGTAGGTCTCGTCCAGGATGGCAAAAGCGGGCCTGAAGACCATCGTCGTCCACGTCCAGTGGCCCACCAAGCTTGACAAGACAGAAGGTAGGATGTCGCCCTCCAGCAACAGCGCCTCCGTTGCCAAGACCAGCTCCGCGAACTTCTTCGTCTGGACCCTCAGCGCGCGCGGCCTCGTCGCTGGAATCGCGAGCCCAACTCCCCCGGCGAGTCCTTCCCCAGTCCCCCTTGTGGATCGCGAGGCCCTTCTGGTTCAGAAGCTGCTTCACCTCTTCCTTGTCCTGCAGGATCTCCTCCCCCTCGCCGGGGCCCTTCAGCGTAGAGCCGATGTAGTCGTCGACGCGCAGCATCCGGATGAGCCTCGCCGCCACCTCCACAGACGCCCCGTCCTCCACCGCCTCGGCCGCGCACGAGGGAGGACCCCCCCTGCTGCGGCGAAGGTCGAGCAAAAGAGATCGGACTGCAAAACTTCGGGGTCGGCTTCCCGCACGTAATACGTAATAGTCGGCGCGTTCAGGGCCTCGAAACTCGCCTCCAAGCACGTATGATCCAGAAAGACCGCCCAGGCCGAGCCCGTCACCAGGCTCGCTGCCCCCAGTCTTATCTCCAAGGCCTCGGGCTTCTTGAAGTCCAGCCCTTTCTCCTGGCCACATTGGCGCAGCTCCTGCGGCGAGACGCCCTCCACGACGCAGAGTTCCGTCAGCTCCGACCCCCGGCGCGTCGCATTGGAAAGGGAAGAACCGTCGCCCATGTAAGATGGCCTCGTCAAACTCCAGCAGGGCCAAGCTTGCGGGGCTCCCAAGCGGCACCCACGGCGTCTCGTGAAAAAAGAACGTTGACCTTCCTGCAGTCCCAGATCAGGCGACTCTTCAACACTTCCCGTGAGTCGGGGTCGACGTCTTTGGCCACCGTGAACAGTCCCACTTTCTCCCGCACCTCCTTCACACAGTCCAGCATCCCCGCTTGGTGCATGCGGGACAGCTCCATTTTCTCGGCCTGGCTCTTCAGCACCGGGTCCGAGTAGCTCTTCCTCGTCTCGTACCGCCCTAGTCCACCTCGCCTGTGCTCTTGATCATCAGCTTCTCGAACGAATGGACGCAGCTGCCCGCGCAAGCCGACAGGTCCTGGACACGAAGCGGCGTCGCACCTGGGTTGGGTAGCGAGACTTGCCCAGCTCGGAGGGGGCAGAGATCTCCTTTCTAAATATGTCGTCACCTTCTTGCTGTCTTCCTTCCTCTTCACCGTCGTAAAATAGCCGCTGCCCGTCGTCTCCTAGAGGCGGCTCAGAGCCACCTTCCCGTCGTTGATGTTGCCCCAGCTCGCCCGAGTGGCGTGCCGGTCCCATATGTCGCTGATGATATTCTTCTGGAGCGAGCTGCTCGCCGCCCGCGCCTTCTTCGCTTCCTCCGCCGCCCTGAGGGGGGGCGGCTGCAGCCAGCCATTCGCGCAGCCCACGGCCATGCTCCTGATCGCCGAGATCGCCCTCGCCACCCTTCTCCAAGTCGCGCGCAGGCTGACAAAGCTCAGCCCGGCACTCGATCTCTTTGTAGTCATAGGAAAAGGGAGGCTCGGCATAATCCTCCACGGGTCTCGTTCCCAAGGATCCATTGGCGACGTCCAGGGCGGGCCTCGCCTGGCGACCTGCACCGCGACGCACTGGTTGGCCAGCTTGCGGTAGAGGAGCCTCAGGGAGATCCAAGTCGACCTCCTCCGACTCGAAAATCGCCTGGACGAAGAACTCTTCCCAGGCAGGCTCGCAGAACACCCGGCCCAACAGGCCCACGAGGAGCCCGACCCAAATGACGGTGCGCGGCGCGCGAGCAGCGGCCGTGGACCCGCCCGAGCAGCGAGGTGCAGTGCTTGTAGCACGCTCTTGGCCAGTGCTTACCACGATCGCACTGGCCGCAACCTATTCGCCGTCCGCACCGCCTCCCCCTCCACCACCTTGGCTCAGGTGCTTGTTCAGGGTCGCACGGCGCTTCAGCTTCTCCAGCACCTCCTCGTCGGCCCTCAAGTTCTCGCTGTCGCGGTCGCCGTCGAGGCGCAGGTACTTCTCGGCCGGGCTCCAGTCGACCTTGGACTTCCACTTGCCCCCGTTCTGCGCCTTGGGGCGCTGCCAGTCGGCACGGCGCTGCGCCCGCTCGTAGACCTTTCAGATCGAGTAGAGCCGCAGGCGCGTCAACTCGGACGCCTGGCTGTTGATCAGCGCGTCGCGCTCGCCCGAGCTCATCATGCGGCCCAGGACCATGGCCAGCATGTTCACCTCATTCGCCACCGAGGCGCTCTGCAGCTCATTGGCCCGCAACCACCCCTGCGTCTCGACGCGGGCGGCCCGCCCGCCACTGTAGAGCTTCGCCAGCACCGTGGGCGCCACCCTCGTCTTGACGCCCCCCACCTGAGCTCCGACGGCGGGCCTGTACTGCTGCAGCACGTTCAGAAGGCTGTCCTTCGGATTGGTGGCCTCCAGCCTCAGCTGCGCGGTCTGATCCTTCAGTGGGTCGTCGAACTCCCCGCCAATCTTGTCCCGCGAGCCGCTGCTGCCACTGCTGTTCAGAGGCGCTGGCGGCGAGCCCGCGGCTGCCTCGGCGGAGGCGCGCTGTGCCGCGCCCTCGTGCTCGTTCAGCTTCCTGATGAACGCGTCGATGTCCCCCGCGCTGGGCCCCCCGCTGCCAGCCGCCCCAGTCCCGATGGGGCTATCCTCGCGCCTCGTCTCAAGAGGGGGGGGCGCATGGGCGGGCGGCGGCGCGGGGGGCCATGCGGTGGTCTCCTCGCGGTTCTTGTCCTTCAGGTCGATCGTCGCAGACGCCAGCTCCGCCTGGCCCCTCGCCAGCTCGGCGAAGAGCGCCTTAGCGTCGGGCTCGTCGTCAGTGTCAGTCGAGTCCCGTCCGCCGATCACTGCCGTAGCGTCCGTCTCGCTCTCAGTGTCGCTGTCCGAGGTGTCACCTCTGCCCTCGCCGCCACCGCTCGTGCACAGCCAGAGCCCGCACCCCGCGACGCCGATCCCGCCGATGGTGCACATGATCTTCTCCAGGTCCCCGTTGTCGTACATATCCTTCGCAAGCTCCAAGAAAGACTGGAAGTCCTCGAAGGCTTCGAGGCCGACCTTCGCCGCGCGGCACGCGCTGCTCAGCCGCGACCCCAGCTCCAGGTAGCGCCGCGCGCGCCAGCCCAGACAAGCGAGCGAGCCCCAGGCACCCGCCGCGCGGTAGCTCCAGCCCGCCACCAGGACCGTGGAAAGACCCCTGAACAACCAGCCGGCCACCTGCGTCTTGGAGCTCGGCTTACGCTTCTTCTTCTCGGGCTCAGACTTCTCAGCGCGAGCCGACGCCTCCTTCATCTCAGGCCTGGCTATCAGGCGCCCCGACGCGATGAGAGCTGCATCCCTCTGCTTCTCCGTCAGCCCAGGGTGTTCAGTCCACGCGATGCCGTGCTCTTGGCGCCCCCGACCCTGCTGATCAGCTGCAGCGCCACCCCCGTCGGCTTCGTCTGCGACTGGAGGTACACGCGGTTCCACCGCGCCCATAGCGCCATGTAGCTCGCCCGCGAGCCACGGAACAGCTCGAACTCGACTCCCTTCTCCTGCTCCCCGAAGAGCGGCTCGCTGTCGAGCTCCTCCTCGGCCTCGCCCCCAGGCCAGATGACGGGAGCGATCGCCTCCCACTCGCTGGCGACCACTGCCAGCGCCAGGGCCCAGCTGATGGGCCCAGCACGCGCCGTGGCGCCACGACG